ATTTCAAAATAGCGTCGGAATTCGATTTCCGGTTTCTAGACGTTACCCTGATTATAAAAAAAATCGTGTGTATTTTGAGAATTTTGGTGTGAATTACAAGGTGATTTTTGGACAGTACTTTAGAACAGGAGAATCATGAGGAAAATTCCTTGATAATCCTGATATTAAGGGAATTCTGAGGAGAATTCCAAGGTAAGAAATGGAGAAATTTTCTAAATTTTGTGACATGAGAAATCCTCGTTTTTCCCGATTGTTTTTGATTACCGATCTATCCCGGTTCAGTGAATTTTAAGGGTGGTCGGTGTTTCTAAAATGGAAAATTTTGGAAATTCCGGCAACACTTGGAATCGCTCTTTTGGGGCTTTTTCATTACTTTTTATTATAGGATGCTAACGTAAGTAAAATCCAGTTGAATTTTCAGTTAACCCATCGCAAAATAGATAGTTTAATGCTATTAATCTCCCTATCAAAATATAAACTTTCCTCACCGCCCCACTTTGTGTTTTCACTGAAGGTGCACTCCCCGAGCAAAGCTAATCCTGCTTTCAATGAAATCAATTTGATTGCTAATTTTGCATTCATAATATTTAACTGAATAAGGGCCTGGCGTAAATGGTTAGCATCCATGCTTCTCACGTTGAAAGACTTGAGTTCAAATCTCACTCCGGACCAAGTCCCCGGCAAGGTGACAGATAACCTTAGTTTCACGTACCCACTTGCAAATAGTAGATGTCGCCACACAACGTAAACAAAGGGATTGTCCTTCACCGCCGTAATGGAATTTTTCTATGGGAAATCAAGTTTTTGTTTGCCCATGTGTGGATGTCAAATAACAGGCAAGCACGAATTTATGATTTTCGTGGTGAAATGAAATAAATCCAAATGAATTGAAACCGATTGATGGAGGTTCGATGTAATCGAATGGCAACAAAAAACGTTGCTGTCTTGTATTTTATTTTGCTCTTGAATATAATCAACCTTCAGAGTGTTGTACGATTATTTAGGCTTGCCCTAGCTTCTGATATGCAAACTCATTAATCACCACAAAAATTTCAACGTTTGGAAATACATATTACGAACGGCTTGAAAATAGAATCATAATGAGCATCGGCAACATTCATCAACATGTTTTTTTTTGTAACAATCAGGACTTATTTTAGAGCAGGATGCAGTAAACATCCATCGAAATATCCTGATAAAATTGAGCATGGACTTGTATTTAAAACGCTGACTTGAGGAACATGCCAAAAACTTTAGCTGAAATTGTTAGAATTTCCTTAAATTGTAGGAATTTCCATGAAATAGTTGGAATTCCTTGAAATTTGGTGGAATTTTCTTACAATTCGTGAAATTTCTATGAAATTTGTTGGAAATTCTTTGAAATTCATAGGAATTTCCTTAAAATTCGTAGGCATTTACTTGAAATTCGTAGGAATTTCCATGAGATAGTAGGAATTTCCTCGAAATTTGTTGGAATTTCCATGATTCTCGTTAAAATTTCCTTGAAATTCGTTGGAGTTTCCTAGAAATTCATAGAAATGTCCTTGAAATTCGATGGAATTTCCATAAAATTTGATAGAATTTCTTTGAAAATTGTTTTAATTTTCTTGAAATTCGTTGGAAATTGCTTGTAATTCGATGACATTTCATTAAAATTCGTATGAATTTCCTTGGAGTTCGTCGGGATTTCATTGAAATTTGATAGAACTTTTAATTTCTGGAAATTCTTAAGATTTTTTTTTTAAATTTTGTGGAATTTCCTTGAAATTCGGTGGAATTTTCTAGAAATCGGTATGAATCTTCTTGATTTTTTTGAAATTTCCATGAATTTGTTGGGATGCCCATGAAATTGTTGGAATTTGGTTAAATATGTTGGAATTCCACTGAATTCATTGGAATTTTTTCTAAATTCGAAGGATTTTCCTTAAAATTCATAGAAATTTCCTTAAAATTCTGCGGACTTTCGTGAAATTCTTTCGTGATCTCGAAGATCGTTAAACTTTCTTTGAAATTCAATGGAAATTCCGTAAAATTTGATAGAATTTTCTTGAAATTCATAGGAATTTGCATTAAATTTTGTGTAATACATTTGAAATTCGGTGGAATTTTCTAGAAAGTCGTAGGAATTTTCACGAGATTGATATAATTTCCTTTAAATTGTTCGAATTTCATTAAATTCGTTGGAATCTCTTTGAAATTCGCTGGAATTTCCTTAAATTGATTGTTTGAATTTTCTTGTAATTCGTTGGAAATTGCTTGAAAATCCATGAAATTTCCTTAAAATTCTTGAAGAAGAATTTCCTTGAGGTTCGTTGAAAGTTCTTTGAAAATTGATGGAACTTCCATAACATTCCATTGAATTTTGTTGAAATTCTTAGTTATTTTCTATAAAGTTTGAGGAATTTTCTTGAAATTCAATGAAGTTTTCTTGAAATTCGTATTAATTTTCGTGAAATTTTTGAAATTTCCTTGCAATTGTTGTCATTTCCATGAAATTGTTGGAATTGGGTTGAGTACGCTAGAATTTTATTGAATTCATTGCAATTATCTTGAAATTCATTGGAAGTTTCTTGAAATTCGTTTGAATTTTCTTGAAATTCGTAGGAATTTCCTTAAACTTCGTTGGAATTTCCTTAAACTTCGGTCGAATTTCCTTGAAACCCGTTGGATTTTCCTTGAAATTAGCGTTGAGATTTTCTTGAAATTCGATGGAATTTCCGAAAATTTTTGGAACTTCCCTCAAGTTCCTGCCCTGAAGTGCTAAGAACTTTCCTAATGCCGTATGATATTTTCTACAGATCTGTTAACTGCCTTTCTCGGAGATCAGGTAATGTGCATAGACATTTATTTAAAACGCTGGCTTGAGGAACATGCCAAAAACTTTGAAGGCATTAAGAATTATATCCACAACAAAAAAAACAACAAAATTGTTTTTATACGCCTTTTTAATAGAAACTTAGCGATCGATTTAATCACTCGTGGTGAATAGGAGGACGTCAAAAAGAGTGTTGTGAGCAGAAATTTATGCTGTGAGACATAGGAAGCAAAACAATTTGACGATGACAATCATTCATTTTTGTTTTACTAATCATATACTTCTGGTTCTGTACTGCTCAAATACATGCGATACACCAAATAAAAAAAGTTTCATAAACTGAATATGTATTGTACATACTACTGAGAATCAAACCGATATCAGTCGCTTGGATCACTGGAGTTTCTATGTCGCTAATACTAGTTTTGTCGCCGGACGTCGCGTATTTGGCGGCCGTGCGACAATAAGATGCATTTTAAACTTTAATTTAATTTACAGTACATCATTTCCGAATTCGCCCTATTCAGATAACACTTCTGAAATGTGTGAGTTTGACAGAACCACCAACAGCAAATTTCCGGGGTACAATGGCAATATACGGGAGTTTTCAAGTTGCCACCGAGTTGCTCCGGACAAAAATCACGAATGAATGACCTAAAATGTGTTGCAAAAAAAACAATTAGGCAATAATCGCTAAATCAATTTTCAACAAGACGTTAACAGTAGAACTTGAAGTTAGTTGTTTTCATTTAAAAACTGAACTTATTTCGACAATTAAAATCAAAACGTGTTTTCATTATGATTGGAACAGCAAACTTTATTATCGATTTGCTTTCATTTTTTTTTTTTTTGTTTAATAATTTATTTGATAAGGCTCAACCGAATTAACTTTACAGAGCCGAGGATTCTTGGTCACTATACAATACATCTTAAAACTATAGTCAAAAGGTACAACACAATAAACACTTTATCTTCCGCTATCCAAAAAGCCTCCTCCATCAGAACTGGAGCCGCTTCCAGTAGTTTCATTGTATGGAAAATTGTTGTATGCCAACGAGGGTCAGAGCGCGTCCATTGCAGCAATGGACACAAAACGTGGTCAGCACTCACACACTCATCACGAAACGGTTGCTTTCCAAAGTCGACGACGCATCGACCGAAAGAACTGCTGATGAAGAACAATGAGGAGGACCACACAATGGTTGCTGCCGAGGAAACAGACGATCGCGTAGCACACATCGAGAGTGGCCTGCTTTTGTCGACAGCCGAGTGAACACTGAGCTTTCATTTTGTTGACCGACTTTGCTCGGGTCGAGAGCGCACTGAAGTGAACCTTCAGTGAAAATACAGAGTGTGTCTCTATGATGCGGAAATTTTGAATTTTGATAGGGAGATTAACTGCACTACACTACACTTTAAGATGGGTTAACTGAAAATTCAATTTGATTTAACGTAGGGGTAAGAGGGGCATAGTGAACAGGTGGGGCATAGTGAGCATCCCGTGCACCAGCTTGGACTTCCGGCCGTTCGGAACAAATTGGTTGGTGGTAGGATCATTATCATAATGATATTGAACCTACTGCCAGTTGATTTTTGTTTCATGCAGCTAGAGATCCAGGGCCAAACTACGGGATGCTCACTATGCCCCTCCTCCCCTATGTATTAAGAAGTAATGAAAAAGTCCCAAAAGAGCGATCCATCCCTAGTTCTAGGAGCTGACAATATTTTGAAAAATATCAATCAAACGGAGTTTCCCGGAGATTTAGAGAGGTCTTTAGGTTTCAAGCACCTGGAATAAAGAATTTGAAAGCGTCTTTTAATATCCATCAGGCACAATTCTAGCTTCAGGAACTTTCGCTTCGGAAATTCCGCAACGTCCTGGAGTTTCACGGACTTTCAACAATTGCCAAACACCCGAGAGAGAGTACATTTCCCCAAAACGATTGTGCAACTCTAAAATTCTACTAAGCGACAACATTTGCAGAAGCAACGAAAAACTAAATCACTAAAAACCACAAGTCTATTTGGCCAGCAAAAAAAAAACTATAACAACGGTGCTACAACATTCCAGTTCCGTGAACGTGTGCTGCTAAAATAAACGCTCTACGAAAGAAGGTGAAACACGTGTAACAAACAAGATTCCGACACAATCCAGATGAGACAATCAGCCAACACTCGCGCTAACCTCCGTCTCGATGACTTTTTCCACGTATTCGATCGTCCGCAGGCCCCCGCCGGGAAGCTCTTCCGTGCGCTGCTGGATCACCTTCTCCCCGAGGACCGTCTCCGTCTCGCGGACGACCCGTTCCTGCCCGGTTGCCTTCGACTTGACCGCTATCCGGGGGAAACGAATCGGCTTTCGGGAAATTGGTGGATACTGCTTCTCGCGGGGGTGTTGTTTTTTGGTTGTGAGTTTTACGGGGTGGGTGTGTGTGTGTGTTTGTGTGATTCAGATAGATATGAATGTTTTACCGTGTGATCGGTGCAATGGCACACATACACATTATCAACATGGGAGTTAATCGTTATTGAGGGTTTCAGAAAAAAAAATGGGAGAGGTAAAACAATTAGCGATAAATCGGAGTTAGCGTTTGGTTAAGTCTAACGTCAAACTAAATCGGATTAGAGGTAGAAGGAACACCCGTGCAAAGAGACTCACCTGTTCATCACTACTGCTGACGGTGTGCTCCGCAATGGTCGGATAGTGACGATGGTGGTGATGATCGTGGTGGTCCGATCGGAGATGCAGTACGGTTGGATTACCGGAAGCGTCTTCTTGCACGGTGGCTGCGTTCATGGTTTGGATCATGATTTGCGCTTGCAGGGCATCGTTTTCCAGCGATTTGAGACGTGCTTGTCGCCAAGCAGCTCGTTTTTGCGCCCTGCAAAAAAAAAGAAGGATTTAGGAGTTTGATTGCTTGAAGCTTGTATAGGTGAAGGTGAAGCAGCTTACCTTAAGGCTCGAATTTCCGAGGGACTCAGCTTCGTTTCGTCGTACTCCGGTGGAAGCATATCGTTGGCGCGGGCCCGTTTTTCTGCATTGGCCGTTCGGATGGGGATTCGACTGATCGGAGTCGTTTTCGGCGATGAACCTTGGCCAACCACCAACCCGGGGGGACGTCCCAACACCGGCGTCCTTTCCAGGTGCTGGTGCTCCTCGTGAACGATCGTCGTCGGATGGGTTGCGATGATGGGTGATGTGCCGACGTTGGTTGTGATGCTCGTCGTCGTCGTCGTCGTCGTCGGTGGGGAATTGTTAATGATGTCGGGTCTATTTTTGTGTCATGGGTTTGCATTATGTTTGTGAGCAGTAGTAAATGTAATGTGTTCGTTTGTTTGTTGTTTGGAATCGATTCGCAGAAGGAGTACAACAACAACAACGGAAATATTGGACAAAAAAACAAATGAAGAGATAGAGAAAGGAATTGACGCATTGCTTTCACGCAGAAATGGTTGAATTTCTGATGAACATATTTGTATAAACAGTAAACATGTGGCGGTTACTAGGGGACAGAGGGGAGAAACCATACTAAATACCACAGCTTGAAGCCAAGTGCGACCACACATCACAAAAAAAAAATATACAAAATTCCAGTAAACCCATTTACCCAAAAACACAAAAACCAAATTCAAACTTGTGCTTGAAGTGAAAAGTGAAGAGATAATGAAAGACTTGTGAAATTAGCCGCAAACCACCACGAATGAAAAGTATGAGACAAAAGAAGTAAAGTAAAGAAAACCACAACTTACTCAGAACAGTTTGGAAGGAAAATAGAGAAAACTAGCAAAAACAGATTCACGAATGTATTTACAATTGGGGTAAAGATTTATTGTGAATTCATCAATCACTTAAATAAAAGGTTTGCACAAATGTGAGCCGAATGGTTCTGCTGCCGCCGTAAAACTAACCTTATCTAACTACTTTTCCGTAAATATTTGGCCTTATCTCCAGTAACATGACATTAGGGGGTATATTGAACTTGTTCTTCTTCTTCTTTGAACTGTACACGTGGAAGTGTTTCCTGTTTTACCTAAATATTTGATCTAACCTACTCAACAATAATTGACTCACTGACTGACTTGACTGTGACACGACTATCACACTAGGTAGGGGGGTAGTGTTTCGGTTTTAAGTAAATTGCAGAGATATACCTAGAGTTTGGCTGTCGATCCGGTTTGTAATGCATTGACTGAACTATCTAATTGCCTTTCAGCGACTAACTACTAGGTGACAGTGTTTAGGGTCGAACTTAAACTTTTGCTGGTCGGACAAAAACACGTCGCACCTTTTGACGTTATTTGCAGACTGCTGCAAAATGCTGGCACAATGTCTATCCCGTTTGAAATAATGGTCATTTGGTATAGCAGTCGTTTGACATACTACATTAATGACCCGAATTTGTCAGCCCCTCCGTGCATCAGACTTTTATTTTTTAATAATTTCACATAATCGTTATTCCAAATCTTTCTCATTCATCTTCAAGATGGATGTTTAAGGTACACTTTGGTACATTAAGACCACTGAAAAAGCGCACAGGTTTCGTAGAACATTAGAAAAGGTTTTCAAAAATGGGGCTGACAAAATCGGGTCATTACTGTATGGGGGGGAAATGGTTTTACAAGCTGTACAAAACGGTGTAGGGCCATTAGGCCGAATGCCACCGAATGGGTCATTAGGTCGAATGAATCCTTAGACCGAATTTTGAAAAGTGAAGAACTAAGTATTTCCTCGGACACGTAATTTTTCCTTACCTCTGTATGAGCAGGGTTATTGAAAACAACAGAATCCTAAATTTTAATTTTTTGAAGATGTTTGAGTTTTTGAAAAAAAGGTTTCGTAGAAATTAAATATTGGATCTTGTAAACAATGCCTTCATTTTTTTCTACATCTCATTCTAGAAAACAAGCCTTTGCTTAGAGCAAAGCATGAGCATGAGCATGATTGACCGCCCATGGTTGCTACTCTGTTATTGCCAGACCAGCTGTATTTACACAGAGAACCAATAGACGATGCTTGGGACTAGCAAACTTCCTCAATGTGTAAAAACTGGTGATCTCAAACTAGGCAATATCAGCGCCGGCCGTGCCTGAACGCAGATCAAGAAAGGAATGGGTAGGAATGTGTCGACGTGACTCTCGCTTTGATGGAAGCCGAGAACACCTCTGCACTTCCAAGAAGAATCACTGGGATATTGGGTAATAGGGTTGGGATTGCAGCAGGTTTCGTTTTGGTAAACGATAAGCTGAATTGATGTCCTTCTTATTCTTCTTCTTCTTCGCATTTCAAGCTTATTGCATATCGCATATTAGCTTATTGCGTGCTCTCAACTAAGTGTTCTAGAGACACTTCCACAGTTATTAATTGAGAGCTTTCGATGCCTGTACCATTTTTGCATTGGTATAATTGTGTAGCAAGTCCAATCATACTTCTATGCCCAGGGAAGTCGAGAAATTTTCCAACCCGAAAAATTCCTAGACCGGACCGGGAATCGAACCCAGCCACCTCCAGCATGGTCTTGCTTTGTAGCTACGCCTTTACCGACTGAGCTAAGGGAGGCCCCATGAATTGATGTCCTAACGATCATATAACGCGGAGGAGCCTGGGATTGAACCCACCCATCTTCTGCTCAGTAAGCAAAAAGGTTTGCCACTAAGCAGACGAGCTCCTTTTTAATAATCGAATTGCTGTTATTACCATGTAGTCATGTTAACAAATAAAACGATTGACGAATCTTGAATGTGGATGGGCTTGAGATTAGACTCATGATGTTCTGCTCAGTAAGCAAAACCGGTTGCTCTAAGGCCACCGAGCCCCTCATATCACATTATAGCGTTACTCAAGTTTTTATGACTATTCAGACCCGGCACCGACGACAACGAAAAGTTTTACGAAATACACGATAAACAAGCGATCTAACCATACATTTTTAATATGCCTAGGAAACAAGCCTTTGCTCAGGTGGAGTAAGTCGTACGATGGGTCTTTCCAGGTTGAGCCTCAATCGGTTCTATCGGGTGCTAGTTCAACGCTTATCGACGGTTTCGCTTTAATGGTGCATCGAATGGAATGCTCGCTTTCTAGACCTTGTTTGTTTGTTTTTGAGGATTATTCCGAAAATAATGGAACACTGGATTTTCGTCAAACCGACTATGTTGCGATTAGTGCTGCTATTTCCTGTATCGACTGGCGACCATTAGAATTAACTGGATGTGTTGACGATGCCGTTGACTATTTCAGTCAAATGATTTGGGATATCATGGCTGAATTTGTACCTATTGCCCGCCTCGAACCAAAGCCACCGTGGTCTAACGGTCACTTGCGTCGACTGAAACGGTATAGGACTGAATCGCTACGAAGATACTGCCAAAATCGTTCGTACATTACGAAGCAGGAGTTCAACCGCAAAAGTAACGACTATAGGAAATACAACAGATTCCTGTATCGACGCTCTTCAACGCTCTTCAGCTCTTGTAAAAATTACATCTCCACGACTCAGCATGGATTCTACCGAAAACGGTCAGTTACAACCAGTTTGACCGAATTCGTGTCGCTCTGCATTCGGACCATGGACTCTGGCGGACAAATCGACGCTGTTTACACTGATCTCAAGGCTGCATTTGACCCAGTAGACCTCAACATTCTTTAGAGCAAGCTTGAGAAACTCGAAGTGTCTGGATCCTTCATCTCGTGGTTCAAATCTTACCTTACGAACCGTTCGTTTTGCGTTATGATTGAAGCTTCTCGTTCTGAAATGGTGACGAACGTTTCCGGCGTTCCCAAAGGAAGTAATCTGGGACCCCTTCTGGTATCATCAGAGAAATAGATCAGAGCTGGTCAATTGAAGAAACACAGATAAGATTACGGTAGTTTGTTATGTCATTTGACATAAAAGGTCGTTTGGCATAGATTACTCTTATGCTAACTGTATTTACGCCAAATGCGATAGACGTAATTTCGATCAGAAATGCCACTTCCGTGCAACAATTTTATGAAAAATTTCAAAGACGCCATCCAAGATCCAAAAATGGACGAAATCAAGCAAAAATGTGAATCATTACCCAAAACAAACTAGTCCACTTTCCCATGGTATTACCCAACAACAATTTGTTTTAGTTAATAGCTAAATAAGTCAATATGCAGCTTAATTCGCTTCAAAAATCTCTTTTTCAGTTTTTATTTTTTGTTGAGTAGTTTGCATGTTTGTCACCCATGCAGCCATTAAGAGATTACAAGATTATCCAAAACGAGATGTTCCTTAGGATAATGAACCTGTTTAGGATGGAAGCTCAGGAGAAGCTTCAATGACCTCTTGGGAATAGTAAAAGATTTTTTTTAATGGAATCAGTAGAAGAATGCTCTGATTCTATCAGTTCGCAGTGGAAGATGGCATTTTCCGAAGGTCCCTAAAGTTCTCTGAAATCTCTGAAGGCTTTCAGAACTTCCACGACCTTAGTCTCCCGTACCCCTTACGGTGTGGTGTATGTACACATTTTGACCTCTACGTAGTTTTACGAATTTTCAAATAAACTACGGATCTACGGATCAAACCTCAGATTCAACGGATTTTTCAGATACCTAGGATTTTTTTAAGAATTACGCGAATCTGACGCGACATTTATCATCAATGCCAATGGAAACAAATTTTCCAATCTACAGATTGTACTCCGTGGAAAACTAACAACACTGCTGAGAAGTTCTTCAAGCTTCTGAGCTTTTCTTTGACATAGGAGGACTACGTATTTGTCTTTGGTATGGGGCACCATTTCATCGAAGCAGCGTCACGAAATCATGTAAGGTTTTAAACGCTTATAACTTGTTCATTTACGGATGGATTTGCATCATTAACCGCTATGTGATCGACAGGGTACCCGGGTACCTTTTCAGATTTCAAGTTTAGAAATCATACAGTTATTTTCACGACAGGAAACCATAATTCAGTGACATCTCAGAACTCATGGGAAGACAACTTTTCCTGAAGAATATTCATATTGCAGGAACTTCGAATGGTACCGGGGTACCCACAAAATAGAAATGCTTGCAACTGCGGCCAATTTTGATCGATTTTGAATCTTTTAGCTCCATCGGATTCAGAAACTTATCCTTTTTTCTGGAAATCACCAACAATATCCATCCGGAATCGTCTGGTTCCCGGAAATCCAGATTTCCTGTATAATGCTCCAGAACTAAACATTCACCAAGAAACAATTTCAGCTGACTTGAACAACAGTTTAAGGTTTATCCCCGGAACGGCCATTCCGGAGCAGGTTCCC